ACTACCTGACCAGCAGTCATTCCAAATCTGTTGTATGTGTGAAATGGTCTCACAAAATGAACATATCTCTGGATTAATACAAAAAAGGAACTTGCTTTTCACAATTCAAAATGATTGATCACAGAAAAGGTCCTTAACGGTATGGCACACAGCCCTGACCATGACTCAGCAGAACACTCTGTTTACATGCTGAAAAAGCACGTTAAGGATGAGCACACTGACCTTTATCAGGCACAACGTGTATGATGATGGGTATGTTCTTCAAGTTTAAGTCAAATGTGTGTGTTTATGATGGGCATAAACAAATGTTAAATTACAAAAATGATTTTGCTTCTTTCTGTAAAATAAAGGAAGTTCTCTTTACTTGGATAAAATGACACCGTGTTTCCTCCTATTATTCTGCAGGCGTATGAGAAGCAGAAGCAGGCGCAGAAGAGCAGCAGCCAGCTGGAGTCCAAGTCCGAGGAGCGCGAGAGGGTGGAGCGGTTTAAAACCAAAGAGAACAGCATCGTGTCCAAACCCATCAACCCTTTCACCTCCGGTATGTCCCAAGGTTGTCTACCTGCTGATAACCTGTTGTCTACCTGCTGATAACCTGCTGTCTACCTGCTGATAACCTGCTGTCTACCTGCTGATAACCTGCTGTCTACCTGCTGATAACCTGTTGTCTACCTGCTGATAACCTGCTGTCTACCTGCTGATAACCTGCTGTCTACCTGCTGATAACCTGCTGTCTACCTGCTGATAACCTGCTGTCTACCTGCTGATAACCTGCTGTCTACCTGCTGATAACCTGCTGTCTACCTGCTGATAACCTGCTGTCTACCTGCTGATAACCTGCTGTCTACCTGCTGATAACCTGCTGTCTACCTGCTGCATGTGCTCTGTGTCCGTGTGAGCCCAGGCCCGGTTAAGCTAGCCGCTGCTTGGATTTTGATGCGTGTTATTCCCGCTGTCAAACTACTAACTGACACCTCATTTGCTAAAACATTGAACATTTCCTAGATTTTTAACTCCCTTAAATGTAATGAACGTATTTCTTTATTAAAAAAACAATCCTGTCCACGATAACCTTAAATAGAGCCATGTACAATTGAACAGTATCTTGCTTATACTTGCACAGTTTATAAAAAAAAAATCTTTACGGTGTTCTCTCATGGTTCAGACTACTACCCCGTCAGAGTGAAAGTCATTTTACTGTCCCCCCCCCCCAACTCAATTTGAAAATTCAGCAGTGGTTAAGTACAGAGAGAGAAGGACACATGGTGCCCTAACAAACCTTGTTGGTGCACAGCTTACATGCACCAGTGCATTCACACAGGAAACATTGTAGTGAAAGTAGTTTCATGTTATTGTTGCACTTGCCCCAATGATTTGTTTTAAAAAGCAGAACAATTATTTGCAGTGTAAAGACTGTAGAAGTGTTTCCCTCTCAGGGCAGAACCCGGGTGGAGAGAAGAGCCGGACCAACGCAGCAGAGTCCTCCAGCTCTGCCCCTGTTGCCTCCTCCAGCCAGAGCCTGCCCTGCTTCTGGGTACCCTCCCTGACCCCCCAGTCCAAGCCAACCCTGCTCAAGAAGCCTGTGAGTCTGCTCTGACAAACAGCGCATGTTGTTCACTATTTACTAAAGCACACTGAATTCATGGAAACAGTTACTGAGTGGTTTTGTGTCTCCTCAGAACTTGGAAATGTTCCCCAAAGTGTTATGTTAGAAATGTATAGTACGTATTGTATGTAGAACTCCAGCACTTAGAAACTGCCGGAAGCTAACTTCCGTCTGTGTGTCATGGTGTTCTCCGTCTGTTTGTTTAGAGTATCAGTTTAATGTTGACACTATTTAGAGGCAGGCTGACCCTGGATCCAAAGTAAATATTTGTTTAACTCTGTCCCCCGGTGTCTTTCAGAGTAAGACTGTGTTGTGTCCCATGTCAGGACGACCTATTAAGATGAATGAGCTGATCACGGTGCGCTTCACGGCCCTGGACCCCAGCCTGGACCGAGTGGCCCTGCTTACCCGTCAGGTCGGTCCTCTCAGCGCCGTGACTCATCCCCTCCTCTTGGTCATTTGGATTAAATAAACAACAACCTATTCTGTAAAATGTCAAAGAAAGTTGCAATTTTACATCGGCGTCCAATGTTCCAATATGTCCTGAACACGTCCATCGTTTTTTCTAACCAAGTTTAGCTTAAACCAAGGCCACTTCCGCATTAACATCGCTCTGTGTGACGGCGTCATGGATGTCTAAAGACAACGTCCCCATGTTAACATGATGAAGGATATGGTTGTTTATCAGTCAGTTTAAGTGAAAAACGTTCCAGCGGTCTGCAGCAAGAGGAATATGTTTTGCAGAGCTACGTGAATGCGTGGTTAAATCTAAATATACAGTGGGTTGGAAAATGATAGAAGCAGGACACTTTGATGGAACGCAGCTCAGCTTCTCTGATGACGTCATGGTCAAAGGTTGTCCATGTGATGGGGCACATGTCTCCTCTTTAATGCTGTCTTGTCTCTACAGGACAGGTATGTGTGTGCAGTGACCAGAGACGTGCTTGGCAACAGTGTTCCCTGCACCGTCCTGCGGCCCTCGTGAGTGTCCATGTGTCTCTCTGTCATGTCCACATGTCATGTCCTCTGGTGTCGCTGACTCTGTCCTGTGTGCAGGGGGGCTGTGGTGACCCAGGAGTGTGTGGAGAAGCTGATCAAGAAGGATATGCTGGATCCTCTGAGCGGGGACAAACTGTCCGACAGGGACCTCATTCCCCTGCAGAGGGTATGTGTCTGTCTCTGATGTCTAACTGAAGCTGTCCTGTCTCTCCTGCTGGAGCTGATCTTGTTCTGTGTTCTGACAGGGGGGGAACGGGCTTCGCAGCCTCCGGGGTGGACCTCCGGGCCAAAGAGGCCCGTCCAGTGATGATGGTGTGAGGGGACTTTACTGTTCTTATTTGAAATATCTGCAGGCTTATCTTTCCTGTTCCTGCAGGTAACATAGGTAGGCTTTTTGTCTATCATACATATAATCTAAATTACATTTCTTTCTTTTTTTAACCCAGACCATGTTTAAAAGACAGAATTATTCCGTGGATTCTGCAGAACTGATCATTAGTTTGTCTTTCATGGACTTTCTTCACTTTTCAAACTGAAGCTCTGCAGAAACACTGGACATCCATTTTGAGACATGAGCAGAATTGTATGGACAGATTATTTTTGATCATTGTTTCATTGCCATGTGCTGTAAAAATAAAGTCTGTTTCACAAAGGATTCAGAGGATTTTCAGCTGTTTCATAAACCCTCCAAATGTAGTGATGCAGAGATAAGTGAGACATTCAGGGACTGTTTGTTCCTTTGTTTCAACTGTTGGCTGTTGTATGTGATGGACATGTCACTGCCACTGTTTTCCATTAAATTGATTATTATTCATTGTTTGTCTGTTCTGATTTTCTTTCACTTCTATATCATTCTCCCCCTTTGACGACATTCAACACTATATTCTTAAATCATTTCCACAGACATCTAAGCTGTAAAGGATCACATTAAGAGAGTTTCAAGTCATTTTAATTGAACCTTAAACATCAAATGAAACACTGGATCGTTTGTAGTGTCTGTATGGAGTTTCAGCTGTAAACTGAACTCCATATGCAGCGTCCTCATTCTCTGAACAGGAGGCTGTTCCTCTGCAGCAGCTGAACCTGAGCTCTCTGCAGGGGCTGGCTTTTTGTAAAAGCTAGATATATTTGCAGAACACCATGAAAACATTTATTCTGTGCTGCTTTTTTCACAGTTCATCATGCTCATCCACCCTCATCCCTCCAAAGTCGGTGATGGTGCTGGTTATGATGTAGTCGCTGTTGTCCAGCAGCTCAGAGAGTGTCAGAAGGCCATCCTGACGGTGGAGCACAGGGAGGGAAGAGCATTAATACACGTGTGTTTTATTCTACATGTGATGGAGGGCTGAAAGTAGACAGGGGCCAATCCTATATGGCAGCCCCATGTCTTTAAGCTCCTGGGGACCCCCATGCCCCCCTGTAAAGCTTTCCTGAGACAAAACAGAGTACTGGCTAATGGTGCAAAATAAATTCTCTGTGTGTTCTTATTTCATAGCTGCTATAAATCATTTATTTCATCAGTCAATGATTGTGTGAATGGCAGATCAATCATAGCCAAAGACAATATTAGCTAGTGTTGAGATAGTGATCCACTTAGTGTACTGGCAGTTCAGGAAAGTCTTCCTATTTAATGCTATAGAAATGGTCAGGGTCACAAACTGCATGGGAAGAGGGCTTCAGTGTCTCATTGATCATAATTACAATCATATAATACAGTAATGTAACTGGACTTTCAAGGTTAGCACACAAGGAAAACTGCATATGTAGAAAAAAAAGACTTTAATATCAAATGCCAATAACTTTTCAACTCACCTTTTGTACCCCTCTTCCAATTGTGCATTTCATACACTTTAACATCAAATGTTCGCATGCACACGTGTACCTCAGATACAACTCTATGGAGAGAAACCTTCATAGCCAACCCAGTCTCACGGCATTTCGTGTTATTAGTCACGAAATTAATTGAATCTATTGATTCGTGTTCACCAACACGATTTCCCCCTTTTTTTCGTGTCACACAGAACGATTTTAAATGCAATGTATTTCTATTGGTAGTATGTTTCGTGCCTGCAACACGTCTTTTTGTCCGGTCGGGTCTTGGAAGACCAGAAGCTGTGTGGTTCATAAAAACATGTTCTTACTCAATATCTTACCCTAAGCCTAACCCTATCCCTTTTATTTTAAATTGTATAATGTCTGAGTTTTTTTGCCGTCAGTGAGGAAAAGAAATGGCTCAGAGCCTCAGAATACTGAAATCTGTATTTTATGTCATCTTTTTTTCCTTCTAATTTGTTATTATTTGGTGCAGGCACGAAACATACTACCAATATAAATACATTGCTTCTAAAATCGTTCTGTGTCAGAATACTTAAATCTGTATTTTTTTAAATGTCTTTTTCCTTCTAATTTGTTATTATTTACATTGCTTTTAAAATCGTTCTGTGTGACACGAAAAAAATGGCGAAATGGTGTTGGTGAACACGAATCAATAGATTAATTTCGTGACTATAACACGAAATGCCGTGAGACTGTGTTGCCATAGCCTAGCATTGTGTTAGCTGGATGCTAGTTCATGTCAGACTTTATCCAGTTTTCTCACTTTTCCTGGACAACAGGATAATATCATCTTTGGGGATACGCACCACAGTGTGAAAATGAATTGGAGAGAACTGTGTAGGATCATCAGTATCACCTGTATCCACATACACAATATGTGAGTGCATGCTGAATGTGTAGGTGCAAGTGTAAACATGGCAACATGATCATAACCCAGAGTCAGATCCTTACTTTACTAAGTCCCCCCCCCCACCCCAAAGCCACAGTAACAGAATCCTGCTCAGTACAGAACCCTAACCCAATGATCTTGTGATGACTCATCAGAGTTCGTCGTGTCTCTTCGTTAAGTCTTCGCCATAATTGGTGACCTGGCTGCCCACAAAAATGTTCCAGTTGGCTAGAATCTCCTTCTTGGTTATTTTCTGGTCCTTGTGTTTGATCACCAGATTCCATCCAACAGGTTGATTGGTTTAAGATTTAAAGAAGAGCAGGAGGGGAAACATGAGGAGAGACAAACAGGAGGAAGAGAAGGGAGGCAGACAGAAGCGTGTTGATAATTAAACCACAATTGCCCAATTATTTGCGCCATGTTAACTCATATTCTGCACAGACAAGTTATGAATTACATTCATTAAATTACACAGGTATGTAAGGTTCATTATAAAACGGACAAGTCAAATCAAGCAATCTGATTGGTTCTTAGCCGTGATATAATGAGCGTATATCACGGGTAGAATTGTAGTTACTTTTCACAAGTTGGTATCCCTCCGCGTCTGAGAAAAGCTACAACCGTTACAACTGTTACATTACGTCCGTTACGAAACTAACTAACTAACACAGCTTAAGATGGAAACATTTAAGGTTAACTTCGACCTCCGGGGTGGCCTTACTATGGAGGAGTGGATTGAGCAGTGCCTATCTCCAGAGAGCACCTAAACGACGACATGTAGAGCTACGTGAAGAGCAGGTAGACCAACTGGAAAAGTACCACCATTCAAAAGCTTTCTGATGCGGGTCTTGAAACAAAGCAGAGAAATGATGACCGTTAGTGGCCACAGGTGCAAAAGCTCTCTCCAGAGCTACTGGAAGCCGAATCTCGGGGACCGGAGAAAGTGGAGCAATATTCTCGCCACGCCAAGCAACAGCCGAGAACAACCTCAGCCTATACAAGTAACCACGTAAGCCATTCTACTGATGCTGGACAGTTTTTCAGTGGGTGCACAATAAACGGCAACATACACATTAATGTAAATAAATAGCCAAATAATGGATCAACGCTCTCCGTCTAATATGTTCGCTAGCTGTTGTTAGTGTTGTTGCATAGCAACCACCTCACACTATGTTTTGTGCAGAAGGCAACGGAGGGACTATTTTATTTTGAACATCATTATTTACTAATAAAAACTATTTAAATTAGAGTGTGTATTTTTCTTTCATATTGCCACACTTGGTAACCGTTTTATAAAAGCAATAGACCACGGCCTGTCGTCGGGCCGAACCACGCCCCTTAACTGTGATATAATGACCATATACCACGGCCTGTCGTGAGCTATTGCTTAATTATACTGTCTGTATAGAGTATATCACATACAGTATGCCGTTGTATGTGCTCTGCACATTTAATCCATGTTACAGTTGGAGATGGTCCTGTTTTTAGCTCAGCCTAAGTTCAATGTTCTTTTTATTGTCGTTATAATTTGTGTACCTAAACTGCTGCTAAAGGTGAATCTTATTTCATACATATATACGGAGGTGGCTGGTGTTTTATATTATTCTAATTGTCAACAAATCCAATGAAAAGACCACAGCTAACTAACCTATTTATTTATATTATATTTAACATATAAAACGCTCTGACGCTCCTCCAGAGTCTGTGGCTGGCAGGCCTTCAGTTTCTCCTAAATACATACACTCCATCTTCGGCTCTCAGATGTAAAGTGTGTTATTTAAAATAAGATTCAGTATCTGCTCAGCGGGTCTCAAGCTGGAAAAAATAGCACATATGTTGGGGACTATTTTCAGTAGCGGATTGACTGATATTTGGGGGCCAGTGTATGTGGGACGGAAAACAAACGACAGTGTGTTTGTTCATGGAAAAGAAGACACTTGTCCCATCTGGCATTCGTTGAAATAAAATAAATAATATAACCAGCCCTGCCATAGTTTATATACCTAAATAAACTAAATGTAGAAGATCGAAATTCCAATATTCCACATTTTTTAAACCCTCTAGCCATCTGGTTGAAATGTTTCCCACCACAGAGCTCTTACATGTAATAGCTGCTTTGCTAACTGCATCAGCACTACTGAAAATGCACATTCTCTATAAATAAAGTAATAGACTGACGGTGTGTTCAGCTCTCTGCTGCTGCTCACTGTGCTTCAGAGGGCACCATGTGGTGGAGTGTGAGAGCAGCTGTACCTTGTCGGTGTCCGTCTCGTGGATCAGGTGTTTGGCCTCATTGTCTGCGTGGTCCACCTCTCCGGGCAGAACCCAGTGCGCCACCTCAGCATTATCCAGGTACCCATCCTGCAGACACACAGGCGCTTACTGAGGAGCTTCTGAAGAGCCTCTGTGGCGGCTATTACGTGTTAAAAATAATGTCCTATTGCCGTTGGCCATTATTACACAGGAAGGTGTGACAGGGATCGAAGATATTCCAGTCGACAGGCACTTAGTTTGAGGTTTATTGCGTTAGTTGTACACTACCAGTTGCCAGTGTTGATGGGTTATTGCTGAGTGGGTAGTTATGCTAAGAACCGTGTCCGGTAACCTACAACCCTATTTATACACACTTTTTTCAGCTAATCTCCTTCACCAAGTGTTCAAATAATATTACATTATAAATCTAAACAAAATAACATACACTCCCCATCCAAAAAAAAAAAGTCACCAACTGGATTTAACTTATCCAATCAGTAAGAGCCTTCCTTTGGATAATTACTGCAGTGATTAATATGTGTCAGCTGGCAACAAGTTATTTAATCCTAGCTGTGCTTAGCTTCTCATTTCTTGAACAACCCTGTTGGAAGACATATCCTGTGGTCCTGGAGAGGATGTCAGTCAGTTTCAGGAGGGTCAAATGATTGGCCTGCATCAAGCTAAGAAAACAACTAAGGAGATTGCTGAAACTACTAAAATGGGGTTAAGAACTATCCAACGCATTATCAAAACCAAATCAATTATACAATCATACTCAAAGCTAAAGGTGGTCCAACAAAATATTAGTGTGTTCAACTTTCTTTTGGGACGGGCAGTGTAATATGCCAACAATAAACACAAATGGCTCCTACACCCTCAGAAGGTTAGGGCGGAGGTAGGAGCCAAGTCAATATGTAAATATGGTATTTATACAATCAATCTTAGAATATATAATGTTCTTATAATTAGCTCCAACAGCTGTCGGATTAAAATGCTGCTTATGTGTTCATAATTCAGTTATTACTTTCATTATAACAATTAAAGGAATCATAATGTCCAACGAGTACTTTTACTACATGCTGCTGAATGCTTTGTATCTTTTTACTTGAAGTCACATCTTGAATGGAGGTTTTTACTTGCAACAGCGTTTTACATAGTCATATATTTAGACTTTTACTACAGTGAATATACTTCGTTCGTCCGTCCGTCCGTCTGTCTGTCCGTCGTGTGTGTGTGTGTGTGTTACCTTGTTGGTGTCTCTGAACTCATGGAAGTGTTTCCTCTCGGTCTGCACCCAGTCGGGCTCCTTCTCCCCGCTCTCTGGAGAGAACATGTCCCCTGTGGAGCAGCACACACACATTCAGAACAGGTGGCTGATGGGAAAGGAGGGAACCGTACCAAAAGTAGTGTAATTTAACGTAAGTGATTACTCAAGTACTGTACTTCAGTAAAAAATGTAAATACTTGTACTTAACTTCAGTATTTCACATTATGCTTCTTTATACTTTTACTCCACTACATCTTTATTTAGTTACTTTGCAGATTTAGGTTATTATTACAAAAAAAAAGCATCGACACACATGATTATATGCATGATATTATTATGGGTTAAGCTATCCAGTAGTGTATAAAGTAATAAAATAAACCCTATATTTACGAAGTAATGAACACATTAACGCACCCATCATTTTATAAAATAATAGAAAAATAGCTGGCACTTAAAATAGCCATTTTGCTTAACGAGGACTTTTACTTTTGGTACTTAAAGTATTTTTTAATGCTAATACTTTTTAACTTTGACTTAAGGACAATTTGAATGCCATATGTAACTGAGTTTTTTTACACAGTAGTATTGAGTAGTTCTTCCGCCTCTGCTTACCAATGTATTCATTTATGTTGATCTTTCCATCTCCGTTCGTATCAATGTCCTCCACTGTTTCCTGAAAGAGAACATGACTTAGTCTTATACATGAAATGGGTTTTTTGTTCAGGGTTTTGATATCCTGTGGACCTTTTTATTTTTAGACTGCCAGTAGAGAAAATGCAGAAAATAACAGACACTGAATCATTAAGAAATGTTATCCTAACTGATTTACACATTTTTCAGCATTATATATTTGTCATGGACCAAATATTGGCATCGGGCATTAAAAAAATCCATATTGTCTGGCCACAAGTAATATGCACTGTCATCACATGTTGGATGCTGATCCGTTGCCATGGTGCAACCTTCAGAGATCTGCAGGTGAGGACCAGTACCTGCACCACCAAGTCTTTCATGTAGTCGAACTCCTCCGGGTGCAGGAAGGCAGTGAACTCCTCCCGGGTGGCAATACCGTCCCCGTCTCGATCAGCCGTCTTGAAGCGTCTTTCGTCCCGCGTCAGCATGGACCTATAGGTGGCCTTGTCCTCCACGTCATCAAACTCCTCACCTGAAAACATGAGTGAGATGTTTTGTGAGGCACTGTGAAGCATTTAAAAATCTCTTCCTAAAACACACCGTATCTGTGAAGAAGTCTTTATTACAACTATCCTTGAAACTTCATTGCAACTGAGCAAACTCCCTCTGCTGTTATATACACTTTACATACATATCTTTTTGACCTTGAGATTGGAGAATGACTGAATAATCTCACATCACACATGTTTCAAGTTGTGAAGAGCTGATACGTGATAGTTAGCATTAAGAAAGTGGACTAATAGAAGATGCTTGTGTTTCCTTAGATAGTTGTAAATGCAGACAGTTAGACAAGTTAGAATTAAATTGTCTTCGAGAATTACCCAGGTAGAAGCCGTAGGTGGTGTTCTTGTACTCCTCCCAGCCTATCTTTCCATCTTGATTCTTGTCGTAGTCCTTCCAGTGTTTGTTCACGTTCTCCTCGATGTACCTCCTCTGCCGGTGTTTGATCCAGTGGTGCAGCTCAGTGTGGCTGATGTAGCCGTCCTTATCGGCGTCAATCCGGTCCACAATCATCCTGTGGAGAGAGTTATGGATAATGTTTACTAAAATATTCTGACTCCATGGGAAATAGAACCCACAACTCTGACATTCTCAGCCCCCCTAATTTGTGCAGTAGAGAAGAACCCCCTGATGCCAGAAGCAGCCGGTTAGAAAGATCTGCTGAAGGTTGGGGAACCTACGCCAGCTTGTCTTTGCTCTCCTCAGGCGTCAGCTGGTCGAAGGTCTTGGCCTCCTCCTTTCCCAGGAAGGCCTCGTGATCGTACTGGAAGCCGTGAGAATCATCGTGGGCGCGGTCGCTCAGGTCCGCCTGGTGATGGACGCGCTTCTCCTGAGTGGGGACGGAGAGGGCCGCGGCCGCCAGCAGACAGATGGAGGCCAGGGACCTCAGCAGCTTCATTCTACTTCTCGTTGGAGAAGACAGAAAAGTAATTTGAAAAACACAGTAGACTATTAAAAAAGGTAAAAACGCAATACTTAAAGCATGACACATTTTGACATAGTGTAAGCATTGGGTTGAGAGGTCATGTGTTGTGAGCATGGGCAGTGGGTGCTAGAGTGTGTGTGACTCGACGTTAATAAACGGAGGCATCTGTGACGCTCCAAAAAGTACTAAGTTCCTGAGTTCTTGTTACACAGAAGTATTCTTGAAGCCTTAACACCTCGGACGTTACAATAGTACAAATATTGTGTTTTGGAACTTCTGTGTGGTACAGGATGAAAAATACATTCAGAAGTCCTTCAACTGATTTGTGTTCAACAGAAAGAAAATCCTGAATCGACAGAACCAGGTCAGATCAACTTAGAGATAACTATCTAAGGATGGTGTCATCGGAGATAAAACATATATACATTCTACAAACATTTACACTTTTTAACGTTCAAATTTATAACAATCCATAATACGACAAAGAAAATAGTACTTCTTTGATCAGAATGAGCTGGTAGTGTAATTGCCTCTGGCCCTTCATGAACCCCATCATTAAACACACACTAACAGATGTCCTTACTCTCCATGTTGATGGAAGTTCATCAACTCAGCTCTATGCATTGTATGACAGCAAAAACCATGTTAGCCTGTGTTTTTCAAATGTTCCCTTTTAGAGGAAAGAAACAAATGTTCTCACCAGTTTCTCGAGAGCTTCTCGCGAAATCTCCTTAGCAGTGTGTGAACAGCAGATCAGTCCGCGTTGGCACTCTGTACCTTTAAATAACAACGTCATGAAGGCGGGGCTTGTTGTTCAGATAACCAATGAGTAACGCCTTAAAGGGGGCTCTAACCAATACAAAGTAGGACTCGGTAGAGAAATACTTTAGATAAGTTGTTATTGGCTGTTAATCGCCACGTTGTCACGAAACAGTAGACCACTTCGGCTCAGTGTTGCTAACTTGGCGACTTTCTCGTTAAATTCGGCGGCTTTCCAAACCCTCCGGCTACTTATTTTTGTCAAAAGCGACTAACGACTAATTTAACGACTTGTAATGGTGTTATTAGGGACTTTTCTGGTGTTTGGAGAGAGACTCACATATTGTTCAGCAGTTAACGAGTCGCGGGTGCTGCCGTGAGCCCCTCCGCCCTCCCATAGTACTCACAGGCGCTCAGACTCACAGTTGCCTCCCGCAGCAGCTCACACTGCTTCGGCTCGACTTTGCAATAGAGAGGCGAAAAACTGAGAGGAGTAATCTTCTCAGGAGTACCATTGGACATGTCAATGGAAGATGTTAAAAGTGAATTAAAAGGAGGCAAAGTAATGGAAGTCACAAGGCTTAAAAGCAAACGGGATGGCACACTCAAAGAAACAGTATCAGTTCTCATTTAGTTTGAGAGAACCTTACAAATGGGATATTTGAACTTCATGGTTAGGGAGTACATCCCCAAACCTCTCAGGTGCTACGCATGTCAACGAATGGGGCACACAGCGCAGCAGTGTAAAGGACAGCTAAGGTGTGCGAGATGCGGAGGAAAACATGAGTATGGGCAGTGGCGTTTTTATATGTACAAAAGTGGTGGGGCACAAAAAACTTAGATGTCTATATATAAGCTTCTGCAGTGACGTGCAGTGAGGTTCATGGCTGGTGAGGCACTGGCACTGACTCTTCAGGTTTACAAATATTATATTTTGACCTAAACCAAAATATAATATTATTTTCAAAAGCTTTTTTTGTCTGATGCTTCGATTAATTTTAAACAGACAGTTCAACAAAAGGATACCCAAAAAATGTCATTTTATCATTTAAATATTGAATTGTTCTCTCTTAGTAAGATCCCATTTTCAATAAAATGGCGGTCTTACCTTGACTTGAAGATGAAGTCCATTTGCCTATCCTTCTGGACAAACATTTCTATTACTTTTTTGTAAAAGTCCTCCTTATGTTCTTGTAGTTTCAAAAGTCTATCATAAATCTAATCCATAGATTTATGATAAAAAAATTATATAAGTAGGGTAGACATGTGGATGTTATCCGGCTAATCAAAACGTGCATTTATCTAACAGGTACGTTTCCCACAGATCTTATTTCGAGCTATTTTCTAAAATCCTCTGGAGAAATCTCATTGCTTTTTTGTGCTTACTTCCTGGTTTTAGGACGCGCCCCTGCAGCTCTCTCGTCTCCTCTTCACACAGCACACTTTTCGCGGCACACGTACTTACAGCCAATCAGCTCTGAATGATTTGAGATGACGTATGGCGGGGATGGTAGCTCCATGCCCCTCTGGTCATTATTTTTTTGCCACACACATTTCATTACAAAATACTCTGAGCATGCGCAGTGAAGTTTTTACAGTCACCGTTGACTTCACAGCGAGAGGAAGGGGCATAATCAGGTTTTGTCCCACATGGCTCTAAACAGCTCAATAGGCACACACTGTGACTGTAGACACACTAATTAGAAGAACACAGACTAAAACAGCAATGTACAGACGAATCAGATGATTAAACATGATCTTAAAATATATTTTATATATTTTTTTATTTATTTTTTTGCATTTTTGTAATCATTATTTGTAATACTTTCTGCTGACACTAGGTGGGGCTGTGCCCCACCTGCCCCTAATGACCAGTCGCCACTGAGTATGGGAAATGTGAAAAGGATGCAAAGGTTAAATGTTGTAACTGCGGAGGAGATCACAGTGCTGCGTTTGGAGGTTGTGAAGTCCAGAGAGGTGCAGAGAGTTAAGATTACAAACAAAGTTTCATACGCAGAAGCAATAAAGAAAGTAAGGGGAACAGTAACAATCAATAAGACCCCTAGTGGAATGGAGCAGAGCATTACAATACAAAATGGCAGGAACACACCAAAAAGTAATCTTCAAATCCAACCCCACAGTTGGATTTGAAGATTACTTTTTGGTGTGTTCCGGTGTGTTACTCTTTACCAAGAGTAAAGAGGATGATGATGTTTTAGGAGTGAAAAAGGTGAATTTTGTGGTATTTATATGCCATCCTGTAAATGTTGCATTACAGTTAAAAAAGAAAAGTGATAGAATCAAAGCCATAGTGGAGGCAGCTGGAAAATTCCTTGACATGAAAGATATTAAAGCAGATCAGATACATGCAATGCTAACTATAAATGGAGCTGGGGAAAATGAAAATCAGGATGAGGGTTAGATCCTTAATCATGGTGCTGCACATACTACAGTGGAACGCAAGAAGCCTCATAGCTAATGGTCAAGAATTCAAGAAATATATGATCTAGAGGTAGTCCCTGAGGTAATATGTGTGCAAGAAACCTGGTTACGACCTCAATTAGACTTTGTCATTCCAGGATTTAGCTGTATAAGGCATGATAGAGATAATGATCAAAATGGTGGAGGGTGTGCCACGTTTCTCAAAGATGGTGTGGCATATAGGGAGGTGCAATCTCCTGATGATATAGAGTGTATTATAGTGGAAATCTGCAACCCTAGGAAACAAGATAACATTAGGATAATCAATTTAAACAACCCATGTAAAAATCTAACCACTGATATATTTAAAGAAATAGCAGGCAATAAACATAGGAAGGAAGTTTGGTGTGGTGATTTCAATGCACACAACAGTCTATGGGGCAGCAACCATACAGACAGTAACGGAAATATAGTGGAAGAAATGCTGGAGGAAAGAACACTAGTATGCCTTAATGATGGACATGGCACAAGAGTAGATGTACACAGGGGGAAGGTTTCATGCCTGGATCTGACATTAGTGTCAAACTGTTTGGTTCATACATGCGAATGGTTTGTTTTGAATAACTCCACAGTAGGAAGTGACCATTATCCAGTGCTTACTAACATGAATAATAATGTATATATGCAGGAAGGAGGTGTAATAACCAGGTGGTGCTTTGCTAAAGCTGATTGGGGGAAATGTAGGACATGGTGTGAGGAGTCGGTACGCCTGCTAACATCAGAGGGAAGCATAGAGGTAATTACAAGCCAAATAACGCAACATATTCTAAATGCAGCAGAGAACAGTATACCCAAAACAACAACCAAGGGTAGGAAGAAAGTGGTGCCATGGTGGAATGAGGAATGCAGCAGGGCTATTAAAGAGCGAAACAATGCATTTAGAGAATTAAAGAAAAACATGACACAAAATAATGTTATAGAGTTTCAAAGGAAAAGGGCAGCTGCTCGAAGGACAATCAAATACACAAAAAAGAGAACATGGAGAGAATTGTGTTCTACCATTGGCAGAGGAGTAACATTAGGTGATGTCTGGTCCATGTTTAAGCGGATGAGATGTTTAAGCGGATGAGTGGGAAAAGGAAATCCATTAAAATTCCAGCTTTGGTTGAAGGGGAGAGGCTGGCAGTGACAGATAAAGAGAATGCAGATATGTTAGGAAGGACACTTGCAGCAGTACATAGTGGGGAACATCTCAGTGATATTCATAGGCAGCAAAAACAGCAGTTACTAGCAGAGAATGAAAACGTGAAGGAGAAGAGACAGGATAATAGGTCAGCTCTGGATGTGGAATTTACAATGTCAGAACTCAAAATAGCCTTACAAGGTACAGGATATACAGCGCCAGGACAAGACCAGCTATGCTATGCTATGTTTAGACAGTTACCTATGGAAACTATGACAATGGTGCTGAGCAGTGTTCGAATTACCCATTTGCTTTCGGGGGAGCCCTATTTTTCAGTGCACATCCTGCTACTAAATATGTCACACGCACGCTCTGTTGACTGAAAGATGTATATGTTTCCTGCACTAGATTGATTGCCAATAGGCCTACCTTGTTTGGTAGAACATCTTGTGACAGAGCCATCACTGTAAACATTTTCTGCTGTCCCTCTCTCCCCTCCTGCTTTCACTCAGTTAGTGACAGGAGAATCAGGTGTGCTGATCAGGGGTGCATTGGATACAGGTGAGGAAAAGCGGGGCGGGGCCCAAAGGAAGGGAAGAAAGGCAGAGGGAATTGTTTGTTTAAGGGAAAAATAAAAGGTTGACCAGGAGGTTGAAAGGGGAAGGTTGGGGATACTGTAAGCTAACCCTAACCCTTTTAGGAACATCGACACCCAAAGAGCCTGAGGACCAGCAAAGACGGACATCACAGGCCCAGAGTGAAAAGGAATATTATTTCCCTTTTCGGCAGTCGATGAGTCCCTTCTTTTTGGAGTTTTTTCCTCAACTGGCAGTGTTCTCGTTTGAACTGGATTACCTTTTTTTTGTGAAGTGACTTTGGATTTATTATTTTTGCTTTCGTTTGGATTATTCAGCCTTACCAAGAAGACTGCATTTTAAGTTGGACATTGCCTGATAATTACTCCAGATATAATTTGTGTTTGTACTTGTGTTGGAGGTGGTGGAGTCTTTGTGATGCCATACTGACTCTGTCCAGGATTTAGTTTGGGGGGGAACTTTATTATTTAGAGGACACATTTCATTTTCAGCCACTCTCTTTTCCTGGTTAAATTACCACAGTATTTCCCGACCTTTTTTCAATGGGCTTAAGATAGAAGCTGATTGTTACAATCTTTTTTTCTCATCTCCGAAATCTTGATCGCTTTTTTTGTGTGCCTGGCTCTTATGGTGCTTATAAATATTTTTCCGCAGGTTATTATGTTGATCACTGCTGGCTTTTCCCTGAATCCATTCTTGTGAAAGGTGCACTCCGGTGGATCTTTCTGCGAGCGGCAGGGAGATCAATATACTTTTTGCCAAAATCTTACATCCACATTTTTTTTCTTTATGAAAAGCCATGGAATCCTTTGTACCAGGTTGTAATCATACCAGCAATGGGTCTTGCTCGTTATTTCGCTTCCCGTCTGATGAAAGGACCAGGAGTGGCTGGATCAAGTTAGCTAACTAGCTAGTAGCAAGCACGTTAGTTAGCATTACAGCCTTAGCCTTGTCATTTTTATTAGCCGTAACATGAAGTAACCCAACATGTTAAACAGTAAGAGTAGTAGTCATATTTCGTGAACCCTTTGAAGAGTACTGTCACACCGGTGTGATCATTCTATAATACACCGTTTAAGCCCGGATGCCCCCGAGGGAGACATGCTAACTCTAACGCTACATTAGCTTCGGCGATCTTTTCTACTTCATGCTATCTGCACAAATGGTTAACATTGAACATTAAAGGTAGGGTAGGTAAGTTTGAGAAACCGGCTCGAGATACACTTTTTGTTATATTCCATGGAATGCTCTTAACATCCCGATAGCAATGAATATCTTAAAGTGGACCTATCATGCTATATAATAATAATATAGTGTAGGACCATACCTATATAAGGCATATTTATACTTTTTTTCTTTTTCAAAATACCAAACGGATCATGCATTTTAGCCATGCCTCATTTCGCTCAATTTGCACTTTATTACCCCTGTTTTTGCAAGGGCAGATTCTGTGAGAATAGCACCACCTACAGGCCTGGCATATGTACTACAGCGTCTCCAGCGCTTTCGAACGGGAATGGCCGTGGCTGTCTCCTCCTGATTGGTGGAGTTGGCCCAATAGCCGTAGCGTCAGGACAGTGTTCAAATCTGGATCAGTTTTTATCAGATCCGTTGCAGCCCCTTTTTTAGAGATTTGGGTATGGAGGAAAATAGAGAGGGTTGTGTTTTCTGACACTTGGTGAGTTCCCTGGAACACCGGGGACACATATTCATGTATAAAAGACGTACAAAAGTGCATTTTGCATGATAGGTCCCCTTTAAGTGCTTTGACAAAAAATCCATACAAAAATGTCATCTGTGCAAGCCGTAATACTGTAAAAAGTACGACCAATCATTTTAGCCGGCCCGGCTAAAATAACTGGATGGCCTGCCTGTCAGCCTTCCATCTGTGCACAAACTTATCTCGTGCCCTCAAGGGTCATGTGCTCGTTCGTGTGTGTTGGAGGAGGGGCTCTATAAGGAAGTGGCAGATTTTCTCCGGTTGTGTATTTTCAAATTCTAGCGATCTCGAGCCGGTTTCTCAAACTTACCTACCCTACCTTTAAAAAGATCAGGCAGTTCAGGGAGAATCGAAGGAAGGCAGGCAGGCAGCTTTGCATGACATTCTTCTGGACGTGTTTCATTGTGGTGATAGTGAGCGTAGTCAATCCCTTGTTTGGCAAGACAGTATGACGGCCATCTTGGTGACGTGTGTTCAGTGTTGTTGTGCGAGACCAGAGATGGAGTTCATTGAGCGGTTTCACACAACAAAAGTATTACTTCACAGTTTTACGGCAAAACATTTTTTTTTTACTTGCAAAATTATCTTTTAAATATACAAACATCGTATGTGTAATTCGTGGCACAATTCAAACGGGATCGAAAGATAACTTTTCAATAGCCATTGACTTCAATACATAATTTTTCAGAAATAAGGTCCCATGGAGGTCCACCGGAAAGGGAGGGACTTCGCCTCTCTATAAACGACAATAGCCGATTAAAGCCGAAGGACAGGGGTATCAAAAAGCGTGCCTGATGTCGACCGTATTTGAAAAAAACAAAACTAGAGTTAGAGCTACTAAATGGTAAAAAAATGAAAGAATATAACATCAATAAATGTGCTCTTAGATTAACAATGTTCATGTGATAATGTTGTTGCTCCTACATCATGGTACTGAGCAGAACTCCTCATGTGGTGGAGCTCCACACTGATGTCCCCTGCTGACACTGCACACATGGAATCCTGGAAGCCTAATTTCTCTGACTGTCTGAATCTTACTGACTGGGCATTTCAGGTCTCAAAAACTCCCACATCTTCTGTTAGCTAGCTTACTACCTGCTGGATATCTGGCATATTGGTAGAAGTGGATATTATACAGTACAGTACCTGTTCATTTGTGTCTTGATGACACAGGACCGGAGCTAGTGTGTAAATGGCAATGGTCAAAGCTATTTACTTGCATTGCTTCTTTCTCTCAAGCTCACATTTTGTCTCTCTGTCTTGAGCTGTCTTCCATGATTATACTTAACTTACATAACTCTTTATATAACTGCAGTTCCCCTGGTCCCACAATATTTTTCATGCTCAAGAAATAACTCCAATAAGTTATTCAAAACATCATTTATTTATCACAGTAAATTAAAAGTATATTATAGAGGCAACAACAGTTAGAGCCATCAAACATAATTACATCAATAATCATCTATCTCAGATCAAAGTGTAAATGGTTAATGCAGACATGTTTAAAGAAGTTGTTCATGGAATACTAGACAGCCGCTGCCATCAACACCATCCTTATGGTCTTAAAAGACCGACATACATATATATATATGTATTTATTTATGATTGTAGAAAGTTCTAAATGAGACAGGAAGTAATGACCCTGCACTAAATTGCTACACATTTGTAACATGCTCCATGGAACATTCACAGAGACTGGTGAAGCTCAGAAGTGTTTACAGAAGCAAACAGTTTGAGCAGTTAGAAAATAAAAAAGGGAAACTCAACAAGGGTTAGGTTGTTAGACCTTATGCTCTACGTTTTTGTATTGCCTAGGATATAATGTGTTTATTTAATGGACCTGTACTTAAAGTAACTTTTGTCTTCTTTTGGGATGGACTCATTGTTGCCTCTATTGGCTGTGGGGCTGACAACACAGAGTACAACTGCACTTTCTTTTTGCTGCTGCTTTTAATTGAACTATTCATATCTTAAACTGCACTGTAACTTTTATCCATGTATTTTTTCTTTTAATGTTTATTTTATTATCTTTTATTTTTAATGACTGATTTTAAATGCCATTTTCTTAATGTCTTCCATTTTTGTAAAGCACTTTGAATTCCCTTGTGTTGAAAGGTGCTATATAAATAAACTTGCCTTGCCTTGCCTTGCCTTACTAAGTACCTGTGGTTTTTTACAGCTATGAGACCAAGAAGATGCCAGACTGGAAATCTTACCTGGACACAAAGGTTTATCATTTGTGTTTTATTAGAAATGTATTCAAAGCCTAATCTGAAGTGAGTTTGTAATTGAATAAGGCTGTTCGACACGGGGTAGACAACTTTCAATTGAAAATTGTCCCCCCCCCCCCCACCACCACCAGTTTGATCTGGAGAATCTATTTGAAATCCAGTCGCATCTGATTTAGCAGAAAAAATATTGTCTCCTGATAAAGCTATAGTGTCTAATGGCGCATTTCCACTGCAGGGCCTCGCACGGCTTAGTACGGTATAGTTAGGCCTTGGTAGGCCAGGCTCACTTTATGCTGCGTTTCCATTACAGTTTAGTAGCTGGGGTAGTATCTATAGTAACGCAGTGTAGGCGGAGCTGTGACTTCATCTTCAATGCGAACCACAAAACCAAACATCAGCCGTTAGCTGTTAGCACTCAGAGCTCACAGCTCCTCATATCTGTTCAGAAACTAGACAAAAGTTAAACAAGTACAAACCACAGACTGGCGAATACAGTCACGGGACGGGTTTGGCACGTGCTACGCGCTGCAGTGGAAATGCGCCATAATAGTACCAGAATAAAAGAATAGCAGGACTACTTTAAAGGTCATGTAAAAAAGGCATTAGTGCTTGTAAGTTTACATTAATAATAATAAGTCCATAACGTGTGTTTTTACCTTTGAAATTAATATTTGTCAATGTTTTGCTTTGGGGATAATTTTTTAATTTACATGTTTTTCAATCTGTAGTGATTTTGGATTTGGTAAGCATTCCCTAATGTGTGTGCTTTTGGTTATGCATGTGTTTTGTCCTTAGGGGACTGGTCAGCTTTCTGTCCCCAGAGTCAGAAATAAACATGGTAAAGCAGCATTCAGTTATTATGCTCCAAATATCTGGAACAAACTCCCAGAAACCTGCAGGTCCGCTGCAACTCTTACTACTTTTAAATCCAGGCTGAAGACTTTTCTTTTTGCCGCTGCTTTTAATTGAACTATTCACATCTTAAACTGCACTGTAACTTTTATCCATGTATTTTTTCTTTTAATGTTTATTTTATTATCTTTCCTTTTTAATGACTGATTTTAAATGCCATTTTCATAATGTCTTCCATTTTTGTAAAGCACTTTGAATTGCCTTGTGTTGAAAGGTGCTATATAAATAAACTTGCCTTGCCTTGCCTTTGTAGTCTACATGACAAACAGCATTTAACAGCACAGAAACTGCTTGATGCAAACAAAAAATAATCACTTTTAGTATATGCTTAATTTAATAATAATTCAGTTATAACCAAGTGACAGTAAAGAGCCAATGTTTTCATGAATAGATGTAAAATATGAAGCTTTTTTCAGGAGTAAAGTGAATGTGTACATTTTAGGTTATTTAGGGTTACCAATGGCTGCTCTCATTTGAGCCAATACAAATAATTTGAAAAACATTATTAGCAAATGTAAGTGACATGCAGGCACTAAACAATGACATTTTTCATGGTCCATTTAGGATTCACATTTTTCTGGGCTACAACAATTCAAGCTGAAAAGTCATTCCTAATAAGAACAGCACAGAATCATAACAAGGACATTTCTATTGGACATCATTTTATGACATGCAGGCTGGCATCTTATCTTCATTGTGCGTTCTTACATTATTTCCTACTAACACATAATTCTGTATCCAGGACGACCGTCTGTCTTCTTAACAAACATACACACTCACTGTAAGGATGATGCCAGCATCTGAGCACTAAAACAAGCTGAACGCAAGACTTTGTTCTGAGCCATCAACTGAGCTTATTAGTGAGTACGATCCTCAATATACTATTTACATTTAACTGACGCTGTGCTATCTGCTAAAGGAACAGACCCACATTTATAGCCTTACTCAAGACCTCTGACATGAAACAGAAGCTGCTTTGTTTTGACATGATGTACAATCTGGCATGCCTTCATCCAGAGTCTGTTATAAATCCAGATGAGAAAGATTCTCCAGTTTGGGGTTTTAGCTTTATTTTACAGAAACTATGTGTTCTGTGAAATTCCCAGTTACTGCAAAAGTAGCTGGCACCTGTTCCGAAAGGTGGGGGTGATCTTTATGGATATATAGTAGGAGGATATGATCGTTATCATTTTAGGCTACAGAGATTGGCCAATTGGACCTGGAAACAGAGGCTATATGGGATATTTGTGTGTGTTACTGTGTGGAGTGTGCTTATCATGACACAGACTGTCTGCAGTTTCCTTTCCTTCACTCTGGATTCACTCAAGCTCATGCACTGCGAGTCAGGTTCCTTCAGGGTCCGGATTTACTTGAGCTGGGCCAGTACGTCGTTGAAGATGTTGAGGAAGAGGTGAACATGGTACTCCTTGAAAACCAGCGCTGGACGGAAACGGATCGATCGATCCCCACACCCCCCAAGGAGGATACCTGTCAACCACAGACACAATATATCCACACAGTTCAATCAGTAATCTGTCATCCACCTTCAGGTCAACGTTAGAGGTTAAAGGGTGATGTTCGGGAGTGGGATGGTACTCCACTTGTTTGGAGAACGACCCCCCCGCACACAGCACTACATAGCTTTGCTTTGGTGCCTTAACTCTTAACTGCTTCACCAAACTGGGAGGATAAGTGTTTCATGACACCAAACTTCAGAAATATTCAAACTATCACTTTAAAACACCAAACTTATTTTGGTCAATTTTACACATCAATAAAACATGATGTTAAATTGTCCATTTGACAGGGTCACTAACACATTGAGTTTAGCTGTAAAAAGATACCGGTGTGACTAAAAATGTGTACCAAATGAAACCTTGAAGTTGTTTATATCTGTATGTCAGTATAACATTTCAAAATGATTCCTACTAGGGCCACTTAATGCAGCAAACCCTCAATTTGACTGCGCAAACGAAGTGGAATCAGAAAGAGGGAAGGGTGTAGGGGTGGGATTGGAATGGGGCCATTACTTTAGCATGCATTTCAAACCAACCAGTGGAGATTTCAAATTATTTTTTAAATGAGCCTCTCATTTAATGTACTTTTGCTGCACACTTTGATACATTTGTCAAATGAAGATGGCAAGTATGGAATTTGGATTTAGTTTCACTGTAAATAAACATTATACAAATATACATAAAATATATACATTCCAGGTGTGTGAGCTAAAAGGGTGACATGAGGAAGAATGCCATTGTCCCATATTCCAATGAATATCACACATTCTCACATGTCAGAGTTTGGATTCCTGTGTCACAGAAAGGAAAGATGAAAGGTTCTTTACTTCATACCTTTGTCTCTGGCCGTGATCAGGATGCGGTTACGTGTTTCGTCATCACAGATATCTATGGCACAGAAGGTGCCCACTCCTCGGGCGCTGCTCAACATGCCGGGGTACTGAGCCTGGGGAGCACACCATGTAGGTCATGTTCACACACATGTAGGTCATGTTCACACACATGTAGGCCATCAACACACCAAGCATTACCACAATTAGTCACAGTAATCCTGGTCATGAGCAAATAACATTCAATATTTTCATATTGGTGTTATCATTGGTTAATAAACAGTATTATATCATACCCAGAGATATTTGAGTTGCTACAGTAGCACTGTATAAATAGGAGCATCTGTGAATGTTAGGAATGGGAATTCATTTGATCCTCACTGCTACACATTTCAACACTCCTTATCAATATTCCCGTTTAGTTTTATTACTGTGAAAGCTAATTCTGAACATAGTTACAATTTATTTAAATGTGTTATATATAACAACATATTTGGTTGTAATGACTCAATATGATATCCCTGCAAACAAATGTAAATGTAAATTGATGAATAGAATCAATACAAAAAGTTTAAAATAATATATAACCTCTAAATCAGTCACTATCATTCATCCTGTCCCATGCCTAACAGTGAGGCTACATAAACACCTATAATAACAATTTTTCATGTAAAATAGACCAGGGTGTGATCAGCTGTTCAGACTGACACAGAGACAGAGCTATCGTCACTCGCTGGCTCCAAAAAACCCAACCAAACACTCAGTGTTCTTAATCATTTCACATAGGGTTGACAACATTCATAAAGACACACGGTATATCATGATATCCCCACAAGGCACGGCACTCCCAACACAATACTTTATGGCTTTGTAAAGACTGGCACATGCGTTGACAAGAACTACAACATATGATCATGTTTCACCCTTAAGCTGCTTTAGACTGGCTAACTTTAAATATCTCCTTAGTCCGTTTTCCTATGTTTTTTTTCCTCGATCAACTGACAAAAAATGGGTTAAGCCCCCCTAAGGCAATTGTGTAATTCTTGATATTGGGCGGTGAAATACAGTAGGTGAAAAACACATTCACCACATAATGCATGCTGGTTAATTGTGTGGGTCACCTGAACTTGAAAAGTCAGAACCTTCACAAACAAACACGCAGTACCTGTAGCTCAAAGAGGCCGTTCATCAGCGCCTTCCCAGAGCGGGTCACCTCCTCCAGAAGGTTCTCTCTGCGGATCACATTGAGAACCTCAGACAGGATCAGATTCTTGGAAGGGTCGCCCATCCATGTGTTAAATATACGGTATGGCTGAAAAGAGATAACAGATACAGAAGAAAAACTCCAGTTAATGTAAAATGACCAATGATCCTATAAACAGCTTTGAATATCTAAACGTGACAAAAACTCAAGGTTCTAAAAACATCCAAAACGTACATTTTATGTGTGCTGTTTTTTAGCAGTGTGCAAAAAGAAACAATAATTGTCCAGACTGTGATGGACAGACATCTTCAGCTAAATAAATGCTATTCATTCATTAGTAGTTTACATCACAGGGTTGACCAATTGTGAGCCCATGCATGCTACACACACACACACACACACACACACACACATAGACTGCATTGTATTCAGAAATATGTAAATTAGATTGAATAAAATGCAATTCAATACAACTATTTAGACAGTTTCCTGTTTCATTTCCCTGTGATCCTCTGACCATCTTCTCTGGTGTAAACTAAGGAACTACAGTAGTGACTGGATAGCTGTGGATAGTTTGTATAGAACACTGACTCAGCACATTCAGGCTCTTTCGATGATTAACCCTTTGTTTTTATAAATGCCCCCCCCCAGGGACCTTAGCACCCTGAGCACCAACTTGACATGTTTAGCCTCAAAAGTGGAGAAACTCCAAGATTAGCTGGATCATCAAGAGGTTTGTCCGACAGATTCATGGTGAATAATTCATCCTCAGGGGTCTCAAGTGTAGAGAGGAAAATGAAGGGCTTGGATATAATCTTTCCCAATATTATAAAGTATAAAAAAGTATACAAATATAACGATTTCTCCCCCTCCTCTCTCCTCAGTGGGATCATTTACAAAAAGGCGCTGCCCTTGAGGTGACTCATTGAGTTCTCCCTGCTGCCCCCCCTTCCCCCTTTCAGCAGAGCTTAAGTCTGTTTAATCAGATCTGAATCACAGAATATAAAACCTCTTTAATATGTGGTCTGAATGTTCCTGAGGAACAAAAAAACACAAACCTTATCCGCCTGGAACTCGTCCTTGTGGTAGAAGCCCCCCGTCAGAAGCTTCTTACTGAAGGACACAATGTCAGCTGGGTCCTCCATGCCCCAATGCTCATGGGCCCACATCTTCCCTGTGGTCCCCCCCCCCTGTCTGCACTTCATCCACGTGGAAAGCACAGCCTTGCTAGAGAGACAGAAGGTGAACAGACTGAGCTGTGGTGAAGGCCCCGTGAGACAGGACATGGGTCCTCTGAATACATTTAATACTCATTATTACACGGCTTAGCTAAATACTCGATTCTGATTTGGACATTTCAGAGGTTCTTAATACTTGATAACAGACCGCTGCTCAGCTGAATAATGACCGTTTTTAGAGATCTTGACTATTTGCCTTCATGGAAACATCTGGACACATCTCTCAAAATGTCCTTAAAGTCCTGAATCTTAGTGAATGCACTTTGTATTAAAGATGTCCACCAGAGCTCAGGGTCAGATCACACTGCTCTAGAGTGTAATGCAGTCCACTCTATTGTTGATTATTCAATTATAAACAGTGTTCGAATTACCCATTTGCTTTCGGGGGAGCCCTATTTTTCAGTGCACATCCTGCTACTAAATATGTCACACGCACGCTCTGTTGACTGGCGCAGCAGCGCGGATTCGATCAATTGCTATAAAATCACTCTGCTACTACTACAGACGGTGTCACTACACCGGCGGCTGTGGCCGTTGTTGAAGCCTCTTCAGGCTCCGCATCGGCAGGCCTCTCCCTCGGTGTGGAGCTGTCAAACTCGAGCCAAAGCCAGAGTTAAAAAATATATCAATATGAACATTTCAAATACCGCGCCGGCATCGCCACCGTAACCATAGCAACGTAAGTAGCGTAAAGAATGCAGCGCTGCCACGTACAGATGGCAACACCCAGAAATATTCACAAATATTCAGAAACTGTAATGAACAATAACTATTATTTATTTACAGAACTGTTATTTACAGAAACTCAACATTTCTAATCTGCGTGACACAAATATGCATGATTGTTTTGGGCTCCCCCTATTTATCTCAAAGTCGGCCTTCAGGGGAGCTCCCTCCCTCTTCGGGGGAGACAAGCTCCCCCTGGCTCCCCCCCATTTCGAACAGTGATTATAACTCTATTGTAAGATTCTGTTTATAACAAACAGGAACGCTATTCTAAGCTGTTACTGGAAATACCATCAGAAGCTTAACAAGGCAAGTCCTTTAGAGATCTGTTGCTATAGTGATGAGTGTTTGTTACCTTGCGTGCGATGTCGCGGAGTCCCCTGAAGAAGTCCGAGGAGGCGTGGTTATCTCCACCTTCAGCCTGGATGGGTTCGATCACAACTCCAGCCACAGGCTTCCCCCTCTGCCTCCACTTCACGATCAGATCCTCCACCTTTAATATTATTATACATTTTATATACATTTAACAAGCAGCTCTCCTTATACATGTAACGTGTGTATAATGCATATTGGCCATACATAAGATAAGATCAAATGTACTTTATTGATCCCGAATTGGGAAATATTTTCGTTGCAGCAGCATAAAAAAAACAAGCCATTACACATAATCAGAATTTAAAAGAGTAGAAATAAACAATTCTAAAATATAAACATCTCAAAATGTAAATAAGCCGGCATTAGATAGTAGAACAAATACAGTTAACCGTGATTTTATGTGATGCCCTTATAAGACACAATCCCTGGAGTGGTGCTGAACTTATTTGTTGATTGTAATGTTGGTGGACAGAACACATTTCAAAGTTGGACATAGTTGTCTTTGGATTTGAACAGTTTTTTTAACTGTTGGCCAGACACACTAAACCTGGAAACGTGTGCATAGCAATGGAGCACCAGGAGGGGGCAGAGTTACCTGTCAGAGATCTGTGTCATGCACTTCTGTCAGATACAGTTTGAGTATATATGACAGCTTTACGTCATATAGTTTAAAGTGAATACACACGTTGATTATTCGAGAAATCAAATGAGACAAGCTGCTCCTTTTCCTGTCTTCATTTGACATAAGGCCAGATGACATTCATTCAAAAACAAATAATATTTAAACAGGCTAGTAACTGCACAAAGCTATAGCACTATGTCCTGATAAACATATATTTAATGAAAATAAGCATGCATGGAACACTGCTCCACACACTGTACTGTCAACCTAAAGTAATGTAGCTTTCTAATGTCTCCTTCAACAGATATCACTGCTCAACATCACTTTTTTTAAAGCTAGTTGCGATTGCATCTATAAGTGGTGAGCAGAGAGCAGCAGCATTTTATATGAGTTGGTACGATATTTGGTATGATTTATTTTCTTTTACAGATTGAAATAAAGTACTGAGATATTTATGTGAATAACATTTTCTAACATTTAAATGAAAGTTGCCTTTTTTTAACAGGGCCTTGTAACAGATGTGTTCTTTATGGAGAATGTATATATGATTTAAACACACACACACACACACACACACACACACACACACACACACACACACACACACACACACACACACACACACACACACACACACGCACACACACACACACACACACACACACACACACACACACACACACACCACACACACACACACACACACACACACACACACCTCCTCCAGACAGCGAGCCTCTTCCTGTGCGTTCTCTCTGGTAAATTCCTCCAGCGGGTACTGTAGCCTAGGAAACGGAGCGATCGGCCAATCAAATGACGGCACATCCAGCTTGTGGATTGCTTTGGAGTGGGTCGTTGCCAAGCAACCTTAACAAGGTAAAATCATAGTGTTAGCCATGAATCTATGATGCTGCAATAATAACTCAACCTTTTCATTTGAATGCATACTGTGAGTGTTTCAGTTGTGCTCCAAGTATATAACTAGCAATGATACATCTTTTGAGCAAAATCCTCCCATCCCTTTTAATGTGAAACATCTACAGGAAGTGTGGGGTTTAGTTTACAACCCATAGAAAAATCAGCCAAAGGAGAATTGACTAAAACACATTTCAGATTATTTCTGAGCGTCACAAAGGTGAGTATTACAGGACCTGATGGAGTGATGGTCACTTTACCCAGCTCCATTCTCTAAAATCACCATGAGAAATATGGTTGAAAGCTCTGAAGAAGCTACAAGTACACCTGTGAGCTGATATTATTGTGATATATATACATATTGTAGGAGTTAATCATCATATCTGGGGCCTTGTATCCTCATGATCCGGTTGCTAAATGATGTATTTTCTACTTGGTGACATTGTGACGTCAGTGACTCTGAGAGGCAGTCTGTGGAAGCTGTCACATGTTTTTAAAGGAAGGTCTCACCATAATCAGAAGAATAGCTTGTACACTAAGGGTCACTGCAATATAGCCGAGAATATTAGTATACAGCACCAGACATCAAGATCAAGTGTGTTCCTGTTTTGCTAGTTCCAGATATGCTGGTAGAAACAATTCCCCACAGTATGGAAATATGCAGGTGATGTTTTACATATGTATATTTTTGGATATTTGCATAAGGAAAATCAGAGCTTGCACACCCTGACACTGATTTTCCTCTCTTGCCCCCTTCAATGGGTGACATCAACTCTTGAACATGACAATACTGTGAACCTTGCTTTACAAAGTGTGTGAAGCTGTTCTTTGATGAACATGCCAGCAAGAAAGAAAACAATCATATAAAGTGAGGCTGAAACAACATCTCTGTATCCTGTCTGCCCATGTGCGTGCTCTGATCACTGCTGTTTCAAAACCAGAAAGATTATTGATGTGAAATACACATATATAGAGAACCAGTGGGGAGGAAATATTCAAAGGAAAACCGGCATTAACATAATTTATGAGAAGAAATACTGAAGATTCCTTGATATTAAACTGTCATAAATTCGAAAGTGAAAACTAAATATTTCTCACAGATAGATGTCACAAATAAGACAAATATTTTAATTCAGTTTGGAAGCTGAAAAATCTAAAATAAAAGCAATAGCCATAATCTTAAAGGTCCCATGACATGGCCATTTCTACTGATCATAATTCCATTGTTGAGGTCTACTAGAATAGATTTATATTGTCCAATGTTCCAAACTCACATTGGTTTCTCATACAGCATCTCTGTATAGTATGTGTATTCACTCTCTGTCCTAAACGGCTTGTTGGAGCTCCTGCCCCCTCCCCCCCCCCCCCCCCCCCCCCCCCTCACTGTGCTCTGATTGGTCAGCTCGCCCACTCTGTTCTGATGAGTCCACCACCGTTACAGCGGAACATCAGTGATTATGTGTTACAATGGCGTTTGTTAGCAACCAGAAAATGACACCAGCAATGAGAAACAGATGAGAATGCTGCGTGGGGTCTGGGTGCCGTGTTGGTGGGACGTTGCGAGGCTCGCTGCTGCTGCGGACAGTGTGAGCTGGCTTACTGGTGTCATTTCCTGGTTGCTGCGTGGGGTCTGCGAGACAGCGAGACAACGCGAAACCCAGCCCGAGCACACACACACACCCGCAGCCTGGCTGTGAGTCTGTGTGCTCACACACAGACTCACAGACTCACAGCCTCGCCGCGTCCCTCAGTCTCAGGCTGAGAAATCCATTTGGTCCATTTGTACCAATCCGCCATTTGGGTATGGTTACGTCACCATACCCTGGAAGAAAAAAATTGAAAATGAGAAATCTCCAACGAGGCGTTCTGGGGCAGCACAGACAGGTCTTTTCTGTGTTAGAGTTTTACTCGCTACAGGGTGTACTTTGAGGGTTTGTTACTCTGCAGACCGTTTACATGCAGAAAAAGCTACATAACACACAAGGGGATGGGTAATAACCGGAAAAGCATGACATGGGACCTTTAAAGTGGACCTATTATGCTATATTGGAAAAATATATTGTAGGGCCATACCTATACAAAACATGTCTGTGAATCCCCCATTGTAAAAAGAGGAGGCGGAGCTAATGCCTGATCAGAATTCTACCGGAGATAAAGTTAAATTCTGCTGTGATAAAACGCCATCCTGTTCCAAACCACATCAAGGATTATTTCTAATAGGTCCCCCTGGCTTGAGCCCTTCAAAGTGTTCCAGGATGTGTGTCCTGTTCAGATCATTCAGGTGTTGTAAAGATAACACTTCAATGTCAAGGGGACTGAATTAATCTAATAAATAAGCAGAAACAGATCTGTAGTGTTTAAGTCAAATGTCTATTTGTGTTAACATTTCGCAGAATGAATCCACTGAGCCTCCCTCCAGGGCTTCATTCTGGCAGCTCAGTGAGACAGCTGCTGGTTCAGAATGCATTAGCAATGTGTCAAAGCACTGCTGGAGAACAGCAACCATCAGGTGTGTGTATAAAAGGCTTAATTCACATACCCATGGTTCTTCCATGGAAACCCCCCATGAAAGATAAAATACTGAGTTCTGGACAGCCTGGGGACTGAGAGACAAACAGAGAGGTAAGAGACACGATACCAGAAGATGCAAACATTTCATACTTTAATATGAAATGTAAAAAAAAGTGTTCCCCCACCTGGTTGATAATGCAGGAGCTGAGGTCCTCCTCAGACGGGTTGTTGTGGCCCCGCTCCTTGTTCTGTGGCAGAAGCAAACACACAGGTGAAGCTACATGGACATTTAGTTGCTGAGATTATAAATACCTTCTTATCTTTCACTCAATTACCCAGACAGCTCAGTTTCCTTGTTATCGTCAGGGAGACGTGTGTCTAATTTTTGTCAGTCTTTTGTACAACCGACTGATTTTCTTAAAGTGTGTCTCTCTGCCTCACTCTGTGGTCACATGTTCTCACTGTGTCCCTCACTGGTGTCTCTCAGGAGTCTGAGCGCTGCAGAGAAGCAGCTGGAAACTTCTGAACACAGTTCAAAAGTTGGGATGAGTACTCACCCTGTACCAGATGAACATTGCTTTGTAAGCGTTCTCATTGGAGCAGGATCCGCAGGCCATGGTCTGAACTCGAGTCATCCCACTGGGGGCCACCTGACAGGAGGGGGACACATTACAGCCCTCAACCGGCTTAACCAACAAAAGATGCATGAAACCATAAAAACAGAGCTAATAACACATGTATCTGCTCTTTTCAGTAGTTTAAATTGTGTGTTTGTGTGTGTGTGTGTGTGTGTGTGTGTGTGTGTGTGTGTGTGTGTGTGTGTGTGTGTGTGTGTGTGTGTTGCTCACTGAGACGAGGCTTTCGGTTAGTTTCTCTGGAAAGTTCTCCGGCGGCAGGATACCTAGGGCGGGTCGGTTCACGAGCGTGCTCTGAGAGAAAGAGAGAAACCGGTTAGATAGATATTTATTATTTATACTATGTTTAGGAAACTACATGGGGAGGCTTTGGGAAGTTTTAGAGATCTTGAATATTTGCCTTCATGGAAACATCTGGACACATCTCTCAAAGTGTCAGAGTCATAAGAAGCTCAACCATCATAGTCCTTAAAGTCCTGAATCTTAGTGAATGCACTTTGTATTAAAGATGTCCACCAGAGCTCAGGGTCAGATCACACTGCTCTAGAGTGTAATGCAGTCCACTCTATTGTTGATTATTCAATTATAACTCTATTGTAAGATTCTGAAATATCCCCATGTTCTGAGTGTTTTTTTTAATTTCCTGCTTTTTAAACACATGTGTTCTTCAGTACAGGTTAGCTCTGAGTGTTAGCGAGGCTTGCTAATGTAAACAAAGACGAGATTACGTCCAAAACACGTCAGGCATTGTTTCTGATAGCAACTCTCTGTGGGTCCACCGCCGATTTGACGTCAGATCGGCAGCAAATCTATATCTGCTCGTTGTACCCCCGTTTTTTAAAGATTTGGGTGCGGAGGAAAAGAGAAAGGGTTTTATTTTCTGACGCTGCGTGAGTTCCCCGACACACCGGGGACACATATTTATGTATAAAAGACATCAAAAAGTGCATTTTGCATGATAGGTCCCCTTTAACCTGGAGAAGTACTGAGGCTGTGAACAGTCCAAAGCAGAAGCATTGAAATGTTAACAAAGGATGAGGACAAAATGGCTGCTCTCGTTAAATGGAACCCTTCCACACTCTCGCTGCAGTTTGACTGAAAAGATGCTAAATACAGAGAGGACCTACCAGATTGTTGGGGTCGGACATCAGTTTGAGGAGGTCGGGGTGGTTGTAGCCTGGGGGAGGACATAATAAGGTGGGGGTGGGGTAGAAGGAGAAGAGAAAATATTTTACTGAAAAAACGTTTGAATTGATTATTCGTAGCTGTCCACAGGCTGGAGGCGTTCACAAACACAAATTCACCAGGGCGTCTTGTTATGTTGTTTGAAATTCTAAACAGATCTAAAGTCCCCTCAACCCTGCTTTTGTGATTTAAGAGTACTTGACTGAATTATGGGGATTCAAATGTTTGATGTTATGTTATGTTAGATTACAGTTGTGAGTGTGCAGAGCAAAATGACGATGCTAATGTGTGTCTTTTATTTTATGTTGATGACAATAAAGCTTTGCATCTTGAATGTTACCTTAACTGAAGTGGCCAGCTTACATAAACTGCAGGCCTGTCCCCCCACCAGCAGAGAGCAGCGTTCTGCTTCCATACTCTCACTTTCTCACTGTTCTCTACAACTGCATTCCTCCTTGGGGTTCAATGAATTGTTTGTTATTGAGAGTGATACAAACTAAAACATGTAATACAAAAAACATATGCCAGGTCTGCCCCTCCATATCAAACAGGAACAGATATAAGAGTGGACCAACACTATCTCCCACTTCTCCACATTTCTATTGGAATTGCAAAATCTTTCAATCCACATCAATCTAGTTCCATGAGAGAGAGAGAGAGAGAGAGGAGAGAGAGAGAGGAGAGAGGAGAGAGAGAGAGAGAGAGAGAGAGAGAGAGAGAGAGAGAGAGAGAGAGAGAGAGAGAGAGAGAGAGAGAGAGAGAGAGAGAGAGAGAGCATGTAGATCATCTGAACACAGTAGGGCAAGTCTCTAGGCCATAGCCCATAATAATAAGAAAAACAAGACATCCATTCTCTCTCGACATCTCCACTTTCATGTCAATCTTGTTATGTAACCTAAACATACCATCAACCTTTAAACATCATATATGTATCCCAGTAGGTTAATCAGGGCAGCTTTAGGAAGCTTGACACAGAGTTGGGGGGGATCCGAGGGTCTCACAGTACTCAGGTTTACTGAAATATATACACCCATCCATGTAAAAAAACACAAGCTTTAAATGCTAAAGAGCTGCTGCTGGCCACGCCCCTCTGTGAGATGATTGGTTTAAAAAAATAAAAAACAATGGTGCGCTAGGAGGAGATTCAGGTGATCATGTGGGTGTTACATTGGTTGGTGATTGGCTAATGGTTGCACAACCCACCAAAATCTGATCAGCTCATTTTCAGACAGGTTTTTATAAAGATGAAATAAAGGACATAAAGAGATAACAGGGGGTCTTTGTCCCCTAAACGTTCAGAGTCAACACATGTTGATGTAGAAGAGACATGAAAGAGTGGATTTTGAATAATAGGGGACCTTTGGCCTGATAACATCTAAAATAAATGTATTTATTATGCATTCTGGGAAGTAAGTAGGCCTAATAGTTGCAAACCCCAGTGTGCATGCCCTTTCAAACACTGAATGAATGAAGTGTGTGAGTTCTTGGCTACAACAAAAGCCTTCTGTGAGGGGGCCCTGAGCCTGGAGCACAAAGTGAATCAGACCGGAAGACTGCAGCGAGAAACCAGGAGCACTGCTCTCATATCCAGTCACAGAGAGCAACAGAGCTCCTTCCAAACCTTGACATTTGTCTTGTTTTATTACGAAGAATATGAAATCAGCTGTGATTGTGTGACTGGGTGCAAAGGATCCAGGGAAAGGACTGCTCTGTTTTTGCCCTTGCCTGTGGTTAACCATTGCAGCCTCTCCCATGTAGGAGATATCAAATCACATTGAATCTAGCTTGCACCCTGAGTCACCTATGCTTAATATTTGTGAAGCCTGCCCTCAGAACTCTTGCATTTACCCATTCATTACAGCTAAAAACAGCAACACTTTAGCTTCTTTACATTACACTCTACTTACAATTACTTAGTGATAGAATGATTAAGAAAAAGTGTTGCTCAACTAAGTGTGGTAAAGGTGTGACATAAACACAGATGAATCCTTCCCTGCAGTGGAATGCGTGCACAGTAGTGGTGTTGCACTGGGAGCTGGAGAACACACTGCATAGTTCAGTGAAGTAATGATTAGATTTGATCAGCTACGTCTGGATTGGCCCGACTCCCAATGCTTACGTTCTGCTCAGGGCATCTCGAAAACGATTCTTCTTCCTCTTACGCCTTTTGTCTTGGCTGTTGTTGTTTGCAAAAATGCTACACACAAATATGATTGTAACCTCTGCAGATGTCTGGAAATAAAAAAATAGAACTCAAATGGCATATAGCATATTTCTCTGATGTGTGATAGTAACGCTGGTAGGAATGTCCTGAGGACTGGTTGGGACGTGGGCTCAGATCTCTGAGGAGATCGAGGGCCTCGCTCAGTTTGAAATCATTTACAGACTTAACTTTCAAAGACTTACAGTATCTGCAGAGGATATTTCCTGAAATGTGTTTATTCTGTTATAGATGTATTTTAATACTAACCAATAGGGATGGAGGAGATCTGAGTGTAGATATCAAGCATGCGGTTGCCGTCCACATCCACCAGATAGTTCCCCCTGCTCTCCTCGTAGTTACAGAAGAAGTTGATTGCACCAACATTCTGGGAAGAGACATGCTCTGTATTAAGAACAGCATGAGCAAAACAGAAGTCCTCCTGTATTAACGTGGTAGCTGACTAAAATAATAATCACAGACAGATGATATCTAAAGTAATCGGGTTACCTCAAAGCACCTGAGAAAGCACCCCCAAGTGTGCTGCCAAGTAAATAGCATCACAGTGCTCCTCCACTATTTGCGAGTCCAAAATTAAGTAATGTGAATATATTTGGCTCAAAATGGATCCATTTCCATGCAAATGAGCCTCACTGCAAAAACAGTCCAATTCGCAGAAATATGTGCTTTTTGGGCACACACGGTTACAGTGATTATTTTCTTCTTCTGGGCTATCAGTTTTTCCTTTTCTCTCTCTTAATAACTTTCAGGAGGTTTGGGTAGAAGAGGCCAGTCCCTTGACTGAGTGTTACACCTTACAACCGCCACAGAGGCACATTTAGGCCTAGGCTCCACGGGAACGAAAACAGGTTGAATCCGCATATTTCTCTTGTGTATAGCCCTTTAAGCTACACGACGCCGTAACAGAACGGTAGAAACGGACCCTGCAAACGACAACGGGTCCAAAGGTGGATAGATCTGGGAACGGAGCGCTCTGGGGGGTCCAACGGGGCCGTGTGGTAGCCTATACGGTCATCCGTTTCTGATAATGACGACGCAATAGCCCCGCCTCTCCCCGCCTCTGCTGCTCACCCCCGCAAAAGTACACTGCACACTGAATTCAGATTATTTATCTTTATCTCGATATGGACATAAACGCGAGTGAAGTCTAATCTGACAGGACGGAGACACGCAGCTCCTCCGGCTGTGATGCAGCGGGAGCAAAACACACACTTCAAGTCAGATCACCACCCTTAGCTATTTTAATTACCTCTCAAACTACCTAAACTAGTTATAAATATGTTTATTTGTACTGTCGGGTTTACTTACTGGATCAGCTGCTGCATGAGGAAGCATGAAGATTTAAACTTTAACACACGTTGACTGGCGAAAAACTCTGCGCGGTTCCCTCGGCCGCCACCGCGGAGAATAAACAGAAGTGCAGCCATGACAACCATTCTTCTTCGCTGCTTTTGTGGAGGAAGTTGCTGCTTTTTGTGGAGGAAGTTACAGCGCCACGTACAGGCTCGGCATATGTACTGCAGCTTTTTCAGCGGTTGGATCTAAACGGAGCCGTCTCGTGTGGGAAGACACTATCCGGTGTATATTGCGTGTGGGCGGAACCTTTTTGGCGTTTGCGTTTGCGTTACTTCTATGCGTTTTGCCGTATGCGTTCCCGTGGAGCCTGGGCCTTAGACTTTGCCACATAGCACTCAGCTGCAGAGTGTATGGGCATGTTTGCGTTGTAACATCATCCCACTACAAAAACATCCTTTGTGAACTGGACCTTGAGATGCGGTAGATAGTGGCTGCAAATTATGTGCTATCATGGAGCTATCGGCATCTGGAATCCATTCCTCTGAACTTAACCCTGAGCCTTTATGAGCAGTTATGGCTCTGATTATTTTGATTTCAATGACTGCGTTATGCAGTTGCTGTCAAAGACCTTTCTTAAATGCTCTTAAAGTGATTGCTTTCATTTAAATTATGATTCAAAATACATTATTGTGTGGGAATTGTAACAGGGAAATAGGCAAACCTAATCCTTAAAAGGCACATGGTAGTAAGTGGGTAGAAATCAGACTAATTAATTAATAAACTAAAAAAAAAAAAATGTACACATCTACACAAGCATTGCATACACTGTAAAAATGTCCTCACAAAACGGGTTGTTTTTCAATCTATGGTGCTCACATGTATAGCTAAACAGACACAGACACACAGAGACACAGACACACATAGACACAGAGACACACACACACACACACACACACACACACACACACACACACACACACACACACACACACACACACACACACACACACACACACACACAGCTCACCTGGATGTGTCCAAGTTGTTTCGTCAGCTCCTACAGAAAAACAGAGTTAGTCACACTGTGTAAAATGTGAGGGGAGAAAGAGTGTAAGTGTGTGTCTGTCCATTACTTCTGATCGGGGTCCAGGGACTGAAGTTTTCATGGAGGGTCCATCGTAGTCAAACTCCACCTGGGTCTTTGGTGCTGCCTTACTGACATATCTACACCCTGAAAACATAGAAAACATTCTCACAATCACACACATGGCATACATGGTGTTTACCTGTCAATATATGGGTACAATAGGAGAGGTGGTGTTCTTTAACTGGGACACCATAGCTATAGAAATAGATATTAGCTACTACTGTATGACGCCGCTATATGTCTGCAGACATATTGGAGCGGACAAGATCCACTAGGAAACAGAGAGGAATACAGAGATGCAGACATCGCTACGAAATTGTCTGTTACTCGCCTCATTTTGAACCACATTTTAAAATTGGTTTTTGATCAACTGAAACTGAACATTATATACTTTGGAAATAAATGCAGTTACTGATGTGGATCTAACCAGATCTATGTCAACTTTCAATGTTAAATAATGTTTATTCAGGTTTTGTTGTGTGCATTTGTAAAACAATTTAACACTTGTACAAATCAGTTAGTTTTTGTGTGTGGAGTGGAACACGCATTTGTTAGTATCCATATATGAATCGTATTTTTCATTTTTAGATCATGTCATAATACGATTGTGACCATTTTGAGTAAAATGTTTCCATAAAATGCTACCTGAACAGCTCCTTGAGGGTGCTCAACTCGCTACAAGTTTTACATTCACAAAATGTTCTAGACTTCTGACATCCGAGTACAAACAGCTAGTTGTTATGTAATTACATTTTTGGTACAGTGCTTTTGACCTTGAACATGCCGCCTCCTCCATGGTGAAGATGTCAAACGATTTCACACAAAGTTTGCATGTAGCTTTATTTTCCGAGAAATTCCATTTACCCATTGTGTCTGAAAGAAACTTGTATAATCTTTTTTAAGAAATTCCAAATGTTTCGGTCTCAAATATTTGTTTTCAATACTTATCCAGACCTGGAAATGACTAAAATCCAACTCCATACATGTCCATACTATAAAGAACCCTAAACACTTCTGTGATAGTTCAGTGTGACCCACACAGATTGATAATTGACAGGAGAGAGGACCTTTGAGACTCTGTGGAGCATGCACATGTTCTTATAACCGTATCCTGCATGAGGCATGCACATTTATTAACAACCCCAAACTATTAACACTGGTTATATAATGCTGCTCAAACTTCACATGGAAACATGGTTTCATACTTTCTTTGGAGATCAGAAGTATTATAACATTACATGGGCTTCTAACTTACCAATTTTAATAAAAGTTATAACATCTCTGAAGTAGCAAAGGTTCTACAGCATAATGCAAAGGAATTGTATGCACATTGTATGCTAGGTTAATGTAAAGTTATATATTTTCAGCAGTGTCAGCATTTGGATTAAGGAGAGTTGCATTTACCTGGAGCACTGAGACGCAGGTTCTTCTGCAGAGAGAGAGCAAACTGACGGCTAATCAACGAGGAGGCCATGACAGAACCGTCTAGACAGGAGGAAGTGCGAGACCTCTACTGCCCTCCGCTCTTATTCACTCTGTCACCTGCAGAGAGAGAGACAGAGAGAGAGAGAGAAGGAGGGAGATTGGCAAAGGTCAGAGGAAGTCCAAGGGAGGTCTTCCTCAGATATAATACAGTTAAAGTCTAAAGTTAGTGGTTCATATCCAGCATGCATTAGCTAAGAAACGATAAGGATGTTGGTGTGTCCTGTGCGTTCATGTGCAAACGTATATATAGTTTGTTAATTGGATAATTCATATCCTGCAAGACTCCTAAAGACGTCATGAGATGATGACCTTTCTACATCTGGAACATGTCCAAGTTTAGGAGACCTGACAATGTGTGCGCGCTAAACATGGTTAGGGAACATGTTTGTGTGTCATTTAGAAAACCTATATCTGCCCTCTGTTTCTGGTATTCGGGGGGCATGTTGTTGAAGTTAGCATTGCAATGGTTCCTTCAACAAAAAGTCATGGGATTTTTTTATTGAAATTTAGAATATTTAGAATTTATTAGCTATAAAGGAACTACAGCACAGTCACATGACTTCACATCACCACCGCTAAGCTAAAGGTGGCTAATGTTGGGCTATAAAGGAACTACAGCACGGTCACATGACTTCACGTCACCACCGCTAAGCTAAAGGTGGCTAATGTTGGGCTATAAAGGAACTACAGCACGGTCACATTACTTCATGTCAACACCGCTAAGCTAAAGGTGGCTAATGTTGGGCTATAAAGGAACTATAGCACGGTCACATGACTTCACGTCAACACCGCTAAGCTAAAGGTGGCTAATGTTGGGCTATAAAGGAACTATAGCACGGTCACATGACTTCACGTCACCACCGCTAAGCTAAAGGTGGCTAATTTTGGACGTGATGAAGTTTAGTCGTGTCATTTAGATACTTGTCAGCAACCTATTTACTGACGTATTTTATTTCGTAAAAAACGTTCAAATCTCTTCAGCTTGTGTTAACCACAGACCTGATTTCAGGGTAACAACCAAAAACACATATTAAAAACATACCTCGAGACAAGGGAATCAGAAGGGGTCAATGCTAACTCATTTCTGGGTTTTAGGACTCATTCCTGCGACAGTGTATTATGCAGTGTAACTCAACAGTCACTTTAAACTGGAATAATGTTTAAGAGAAATGCAGCTTTTCTAACGGCTCAGACTAAGTCCTGCAGTCGGCCTCCCAGCCAGTTCACAGGGGCTGCTCATTTTTGATTATGTAACAGTGACTATGACAATACAACTTCTTGATAAAGAATCAATGTAAGAGAAATATGAGCACAAAGGCTGTCTGCTCTCTCTCTTTTATGTAACACTGGCAGCAGGAACAGGAAAAATCCAGCTATCTGCTTTCACACAGCGAAGGAAACCCTGACCCTTCACACAAACAAACACACACAAATGCACGGACGCACCCACAAATACACGCAGGCACACACACACCGACACAGGCATGGGCACAGAGCCGGTCTCTTGGCAACACCTCGTGAACTGGATGAAACCGGTTTAGAGTGGCAGAGTTACACAAGGCTGCATCTTCTTCTGCCCGGAGGAGCGCCGCAGATATGATGTCATGGAGGACGAGCTCTGACTGGGATAAACTGGAATCTGTTATGAGATGTTATGTCATGAGACAGATGTTATGTCATGAGACAGATGTTATGTCATGAGACAGAATTTTAACTGAATAGGATTTCCCTGGTTTATTATCAAAGTACCACTAAAATGTATTTAAATGCATCATTCAAGTTGTTATGGCAGAGGGTTATCATGCTAATACGAAACACAGAGACTTTGACACCGCTGTTGTGAAACATGCAATATGTTCCTAGTTAAGATTATTACTACTGCCTGCTAGTTCTTAGTTAGACCATATATTACTGTAACAACAATCTGTATGTAACTCATATCATTTTACTGCTTTTATCTACTACGCTTCTTTCTACATGTTACACTTATATTATTTTATAAATACTGCTGTTTATAAATACTTACTTATCTACCATCATCATCATTTTTATTTTTTACATTATGTGCATGCCTTTTATCAAACCTCTATTTTTTGTGTGTCCATCTATACTTTGCTGTAACAATGTTGATGTCTCCACTGTGGGACGATAAAGGAACTATGATTCTGTATTTGTAAGGATCCATAAATCGGACTATTGTCCACGTCCCATTTCCCTTAGACATCATTTTCACAGTCTCTCCAAGAAGGCTTTCACAGTGTGGCAATCACTTGCTAAGTGACAGAGAAGGTTTTGTAGAGAGACCCTGATAGAAACCCCCGGGAGCAGGGGACAGATGCTCTTCAGGACCATTCTCTACTTTCACATCCTGCCTTTAACATGGTCACAACATGATGTCACAGATTTTCACATACACTTTCAGTCGTTGCTAATCCTCAGAGAGAACCACGTTCAGAACCGAGTTAAAATGCAGCTGACATCTCCAACCTTTTACCATGGCAACAGCTCAAGCTCCAAAGGAAAAAGGGACAAAAGGGATGTGTATGCCATGGTTTATAAAGACAGAAAAGTTCCTCAATAGTGTTTTTCCAATAGATTTATGAATGAACTCTGTGTGGGCAGCCATCCTTACAATGTGACCAGAGGTTATATCAAACCAAAGAATGAAGGATATGAAAAGGAACACTGACTGGGAATCCTCACCGGAGGCGAGCTGTGGTGCTCTGTCTTCTAATGCACTCTGACTGTCTGTAAATGTCTCTGCTGTCTGTCAGCAGCAGCTCCTAGAACAATTGACTGTAACAGAATCATTTTAATGCCGGCTCCAAGAGCAGAAATCAACAGTGTTTGTAGGACTGTCATACTGGTAATGTCCCCTTATACATAGATTTCCCTACAGATGTATATTTTTAGGTTTTTATTTGACCGACTAATCAATAGAGCCAACTTGCTATGGCATGTAATATATTCAATATATTTTCTACCTGCATATTGATGACATGACATTTTTTTCAATATGATCTTCTAAAGTCAGATAACCTGTGTATATACAGTGTGATGACCCTGGGTCCTTATGTCCTGTGTGTGTTTTGCTTTGCCATTCTCCCCTCTTCTTTGTCAGTATTATGACATGATCTAAAAATGAAAAATACGATTCATATATGGATACTAACAAATGCGTGTTCCACTCCACACACAAAAACCAACTGATTTGTACAAGTGTTATATTGTTTTACAAATGCACACAACAAAACGTGAATAAACATTATTTAACATTGAAAGTTGACATAGATCTGGTTAGATCCACATCAGTAACTGCATTTATTTCCAAAGTATATAATGTTCAGTTTCAGTTGATCAAAAACCAATTTTAAAATGTGGTTCAAAATGAGGCGAGTAACAGACAATTTCGTAGTGATGTCTGCATCTCTGTATTCCTCTCTGTTTCCTAGTGGATCTTGTCCGCTCCAATATGTCTGCAGACATATAGCGGCGTCATACAGTAGTAGCTAATATCTATTTCTATAGCTATGGTGTCCCAGTTAAAGAACACCACCTCTCCTATTGTACCCATATATTGACAGGTAAACACCATGTATGCCATGTGTGTGATTGTGAGAATGTTTTCTATGTTTTCAGGGTGTAGATATGTCAGTAAGGCAGCACCAAAGACCCAGGTGGAGTTTGACTACGATGGACCCTCCATGAAAACTTCAGTCCCTGGACCCCGATCAGAAGTAATGGACAGACACACACTTACACTCTTTCTCCCCTCACATTTTACACAGTGTGACTAACTCTGTTTTTCTGTAGGAGCTGACGAAACAACTTGGACACATCCAGGTGAGCTGTGTGTGTGTGTGTGTGTGTGTGTGTGTGTGTGTGTGTGTGTGTGTGTGTGTGTGTGTGTGTGTGTGTGTGTGTGTGTGTGTGTGTGTGTGTGTGTGTGTGTGTGTGTGTGTGTGTGTGTGTGTGTGTGTGTGCGTGCGTGCGTGCGTGCGTGCGTGCGTGCGTGCGTGCGTGCGTGCGTGCTGTTTTGTTTGAATCCTATTTTCTCCAGTTTTTTGGTTAGGTAAAGCCTGTATTTTATTTATTTTATTTTGTTAGGTAAGTTTAGGGTCCTTTTGTATAGAAGTTTTGTATTTTATGTTGGCTTTGTCTCACATCTGAAACATCAATTCAACTAAAGGTGATTTTCATTGTCACTTGGGAGTGGGAAGAGTGGGGGGTGCGCATCTTTTTGCTATGTCTAGGTTCCCCTAGACTGGGGTGTAACATAAACTCTTGATAGCCGGTAAACATATACAAAAACAGCTTTTGCTGCTCAAGGGCACCACGGCAGGGCCCAGGAGGTGAACTGGGACCTCTGCGAGTGACTGAGTCACTGCCGGGACGAGACTGGAGTCATTAAAGATGGAATAAACTGACTTGCACAAACTTTTCACAAAGTGAGTTTGTCCTCATCATGTGATGACTCCACAGCATGTAGACACATCTGTGTAGCTCATTAGCTTACTCATCCAAGACGTCCTTTTAGTTCTCCAGATGAGGACGCTGATGTTTGTATATCTTCTGCATAATGTGGCATTCTTCAACACTGATGAAATGTCAGAGCACCACCATTTTGGAGGTTATACAAATTGAATGAAGTGAATTGTGAATATGAATGATGTGGTCTAAACGTTTCTGAAAAGTGTATCGATGAGCAGAATCAGAACCGTTTGGACCCACTCAGCATCTGTTCTATAAATACTCACCGGCTCTATTTTAGCCTGAGCTGTGGTGCAGTGTCTCCTTCATCTGTCCTTTAGTCTTTCCAGTAGAAAATGGAATGCAAGCATTCTCAACTTCTTCTACTGGGCTAAGGCACTTTATGTGAAATATAAATATGAAGTTTCATTAACTGGATTTTTATGCATTTAAAGAACAACAACATACAGTAGCCGCAAATCTGAGATCCGTGTTCATAACTTCACTTTTAACACTTTTAACTCATTAATGTAGGAAATAGCAATACTTATATTTAAAACAGCCATCACATTTACCTACGTAGCTCACTAATGGTAAATCCACACATC